GAGAAAATCCTTAGGAATTTAAAGCAGGCTTTGTCAAAACTAAATGCATGTTGAACTTATTATCAAAATATTTAATGACTGAAATCAAAACTGACATTTATCTATTTTTACGCATCGTTTTTCTAACTTAACCTCGGACGCGTTTCCTTTTTGATAAGATACAAAAGTAGCCCTATCTGTATTGCAAGATGAGGTTCGGGTTCTTTCCATTTAAGCGTCACTCTGAATATTTTGCGTTACCTTGAAATCAAACCTCTGAGCTCTCAATTTATACGCGCATTTCACTACTATATTAATTAATTGAACTCTCAATTGCGAGTACTTAAGGCACTCTGCTTTTTAGTCAGTAGAATGAACATATGCAGAGATTTGAGGTTGCGATAAAACGGGTAGTACTAATTATCTAATTATTTATTTACTCGTTCCCGTCAATGAAGCAACTGCAAAGTCGTAATCATAAACCTCAACTTTAGGCAGGAGAAGTGATATGGCGTCTCCAGAAGTCTCTGAGAAGTCTGTCTAGTAGTTTATGATAAGGCGCCTACCTGAGGTTATCTTATTTATCTAGCGAATCTCTGTGTTTTGAGTCGCATCTCAGAACACAGACTGTTAAGAATATGGATCTGAGCTAGTACTTTAAATGACCCCAAAGAAAAGAGGCAGGAAAAGAAAGTTCGACATGCATCTTTTCCTCCTATTTTAAACACTTTTTACTTTGGCCCGAAGCCTTGCTGGCCTTATATTTTGCCCAGGAAGCTGTCCATTTCAAAAGAAAAAACAGTAAAGAGGAAAGATGAACTAACTCTGGTTCGCCGTAATTTCGCCCGGCAGGATTTTATCAGGTATAGAGTTCTTGAGTAGGTATAGAGTGTGCTTTTCCATCAGAGACGTGGTAACAAAAGAGAGCAATAAATGGCCCCAAGAGCATATTAATATGTACTTCCTACACTAATTAAGATTTAGGGAAAATTTTTTATTTAAATTTCAGGCACTTTAATTTTCGCCCTCGAAAATAATAATAAATTTATAATTTTCTGCAAGTTAATGGGCTTTTAAGTGTAGTACATAATTATTTATATCTGAACACAATATAAACTAAAACTCTGAGACATGATAAATAAATCTGACACAACATCTGGCGATTAGAATTACGATGACTTCGTTTACTAGCTATATCAACGTATTTATGATTACCTTTAAATGTAAGGTTTAAATGTTCTTTTTTTTTTATTATTATTATTATTATTATTTTGAAGTCTTTATTAATTAATTTGTATGAAAGTAATACAGTTTTGGGTTAACTTTAGCTAGTGTTTTGGAGTGTAGTCTCAAAATTTAGTGAACCTCAGTAAGCTGATTTTTATGATTCCAAATAATTTGACTTCTGCAAAAGTAGTCTTCTTATTAAATCCATGTGCTGTCCCAATGTTTATTTATGGTTCTCAGATAAACAAGTCACTTTCAGAGGTGGTCGTAATAAGACGGTTTACTATACATGTTATAAAAAAAGAGAAGTATAATTTTTATCTACAAATTAAAATGTACATAAAATGGTTAAAAATGTGTAAGGATTATGTTAAATTTATTAACAGTTAAATTTTGAGTTAAACTTCTTTTCCCATCGATTCTTACTTCACCTTACCACTTCCGGTCAGAACGTAGTTTTAGAATCACGTCTGAATGTTAATGAGGAAGAAGGGTATATAACCACGAAGTTCTACAGTTTTAGTGAGAGAGATACCAGATATTCTGGCTGCACGCGTCGTTTCCACGATGAATCTAAATCCTTCCATTGGATTTGTGGACGTCTGAGGGGCCTGAAAGGTCGGAGGGGTCAATGTAAACTTCCCGGACTGCAACGACATGGTCTGTTGACAACCTTTCGGGCGCCAATTGCAGGATTCTCCGTTGTGTATTTCTAAGTTATAGTTGAAAATGAAGAACCTTAAGTAAGCGAATAATAGCTTGAGTTCATGAGATAGAAAACAACAAGTAAGGACGGGGAAATAACCATTTATTATTCCAACTAAAGTTTAACAAAACTCCATCTTGGAGTTGTACAATAAAGCCGACACTTAAGCTTGAACTTAAGAGACTAATCTTAACGAAAGTGATATAACCGAAGCTATCAAAATTCTACAGAGTTGGCCCCTTAAAGCTAATTGAGTGCGAAGCTATGAAGGGCCTAAAGTGCGGACGAGCGTAATAATAGCTTACGAGAGAGTAGTCTGAAAAGGCGGGCGCGTGCAGCCAGAATATCTGGTACATCTCTCTCTAAGACTGTAGAACTTCGCGGTTATATACCGCTTCCTCATTAACATTCAGACGTGATTCTAAAACTACGTTCTGACCGGAAGTGGTAAGGTGAAGTAAGAATCGATGGGAAAGGAAGTTTAACTCAAAATTTAACTGTTAATAAAATTAACATAATCCTTACAAATGTAATACTCATTGCTACGATGTGCTTATTAATATCGATCTAGAGCGAAGTGTATAACATATGAATTCAGAACCTTTATTTTAATGACTGCATTAATGTCACAAATGTTTGTAAATATTTGTAATAATATTTATTATACATTGTGTCAAATTTATATATATAGGTATGTGTGTGGGTGTAAGATATAAAAATATGAAAGAAAATTAAAATTACTAACTTTACACTAGCAATAGTTCCATAGTTCCTCATTTTAATTTGTATATCTCCCCTTTCTGTTCTAAATGCATTATAACAATTTTTCTGGACTGCGTCTTTCCAAATTAATTCGTTCGTGCTTGTTTATGCAATCCTTCTCCTTTATGACAGCTTGTATCCAACATCAAATCAAGAATTTAAACAATGAAATCAAATTTACAAATATCACTGTTTTTAATGCGCAGCCCTTTTTTTCACTTCGCTTTGCTAGCAGTAAGATATATCACGCTGCTGCTCAGTTTCGTCCTTTGTCTAAAATGTAAGCTGTATAAAATTGTACAATCTATTTAAAAATGCAAAAAAGCTCAGAAATATAACAGTTTTGGATTTTAATTAGAAATTGTCAAAACACGAAGGGTAATATCCTTGGTGTTTTGACAATTTCTAATTAAAAGTTAATATATATATGTATATGAAAATTTCTAATTTAAATCAATCATCATATTTTTTTTCCCTTGTTTCCATTATTTTTATTATTCATACGAAGACGAAACACGATCACTTCTTAATTAGTGTGGATTTTATGGAAAAGACGAATTCACCTTGAAAATTCGGCCTTCTTCCATGGAGGCAGTAATAATTAATTTTTCTTTGTTACATATTTTTTAGTACTTTGAGTTTTTAATATTAATTTCATTACAATTTAAATCTTATACTAAGTATTTTTTCCATAGTTTAATCTCAATCTTCTAAAGAATTAGCTTTTAATAAGCTTCATTTTACAAGAGTCTCATTCTTCATTATAATCGAAAATAAAAGAAATTAATAACTAAATTTAAATTCTTAGTTTTAGCAGCGGTAGGGCTAGATTTTTATCTTTGAAGTCCTTTTATGCTATTTTGCATGCTTACTATTATTATTATTAAAAAATAAATTATAGATAAAAATTAAGAATTATTAAGTACGTATATGTTTTAAAGCGTTGTGATTGTTACATTATATACAAATATTTTATAATTAACAAAATATATTTAAGATTTGCCGAAAAACTTGCAAGTCTCATTGTTGGTATCTTGCCAGGAGAGATAAAGATCTCCTGTGATAAGATTTTTGTGTTAAATTGGAGGATCGGACAATTTAACGTAATATATCTTAATGTGACAAAGAATAGATTATATTATAACTTTTCTGTATATATATATTTCTTAATTCTATACCATTGATGTACCAGCTTTTGTCCTATTAGATTTGTGTTTAGTCGTGCTTTAAATTATCAGACGATAAGTTAAAAAACAGGATCCATTTTCTTATTAGGAGAATAGCAGTACAAAATCAGATATCCGGAGTAAAAAAATATTAATAACTTTTTGTATGAAGTTTACTGCATCGTTGCTTAAATGCCCCCGATATTCCTTTGACCTCTTATAGCCTCTGGAAAGGCGGCCCGAAATGACGTCAGCCTCGTCAGCCAACAGTTCGCTTTAAATATTTTCCATTGTATTACGGGTAGAAAAAAGGCGGGAGAAAATGTTTGACTCGGGGCTGTGGTTTTTTTTCAATAAGAAACCGTATTAAAAAATGAAAAGAACATACAGTTGAATTTTAAGTGTATTCTAATATTTTTTTTTATTTTTTTTTATTTTTTTCTTTTTATTACATACAATTTTTATTACATACATATATATATATATATACTATATATATTGGTATTCTGTTGTACTTCATCGAAACAAATTTGTTTCGTGTAATTAGTTACTAATCAAAATCAAGCAGCTAAGCCATAATAACATCAAACGTATGTAACATAATCAAGACGAGTTTTTCTGTCTTAATTTTATATGATTATTTGCTATTTTTATCTTTGGCTGTGATGAGTAACCCTTTTTGTATACAGAAAAGCTATATTTAAAATGATTACTTAGGCGTCAAAAATTATACCGAAATCATGAAAATCAAGATCTGACAGTAGAAGCATTTATTGTACAATAAAGTGGCAAATTTCGAAGAGATGATAACCATAGAAATATGAAACGAAAATATTTCATTATTTTAAAACAGTATAAATAATAGCTGAATATAATAATAATTCCATTCTCTATCAACAGGAACGAAACAAAAGTTTGAGTAACTCGCGATATTTCAGGATGAAACATTTCCATAACATCTAGAGTATTTTATAGAGATTAATAATTTAATTTTCTTCTAATGTTTGTGAATAATCTAGAATACATAGAACATTTAAAATAAATAATTATGCTAACAAGATGATTCTTCCCTAAAATACTTATTATTTTCAAATGAATTTTAAAATTAGGAAGAAATGTAAAACATAATTAGTTCTTTATATCTGTATTGTATGTTGCAGCTGCCCGACGAGAGGTTGTGATGGGTCTGGTCACGTCAATGGGAAGTTTGCCAAACACCGAACGTGAGTATAATTCCCATTTCATACCACTTCCAACTTTTATAAGCAAGTAGCTTACATTTAATTGATTTTTAAACATAAAGAACTTAAATCTGTGAGAGAAAATCGCAAATATTATAAAACTGAGCTAGTTTTAGATCATTAGGTTTATCGATGCAAGAGACCTGAAAAATGTGCAGTGCCCTCTTTGAAATACGAAATCCGCGGGTACGCGGAAAGGAGGGAGAAAATACCGTATATAGTAAAAACAAGTTTTTTAGATGCATATCATCAAGTCTCTTGTTTTATGCATACAATGGTGCCTATCATATGCATATAATGGTCTCATATGTATTTTATGCATACAATATGCCATTATGAAGTCTTTCATAACGAGCGCCTGAACGAACCAAAACATATGCCGTTAAGTGAAATCCGTATACTACGCTGTAAGCTACACTCAAATTTTGTCAGAAACGCTAATTAAGCAGAAAAGCTAAATATGTTTTACTTTCTGTTTCAATGCTGCTTATACACAAAACTGATCTATGCAAAGATAGTGAGAAGACGAGCGAATGAATAAATACGTTTCTTTATAATATATTTCCGCTATATTTTATAATGTATTTCAAGAACAGGAGGAGGCCGGGAGAAAGTTTTCGTCTAGTGAGCAAGAGGAGAAGAGAAACGGCCCATGCCTCCGTGGCTATCATATACCTTCTGAAGAAATGGAGATTAAATCGATTCCACATTTCTTAGAACAAAATTTATTTAATTAGAAGTGGAAAGTGGTCCATGTTGCAACCAAGCAGTGGTATCTTAACAAACTGAGAACAGACTTGACTGATCAGTTTAGTGGCAAAGTCAGACATTATTCCACACACACACCACACACAAAAAATAGGCAAAGGAACTATTTAAGTACTCATTCTTTGTCCAATGGTCAGATTTCGATTCAGTGTTAATCGATCAGCCTACAGTCGCTCAATTCGCGAATTGTTTTGGTACCCATAATAGATTTTGTCGCAACACAAAATGCATTGAATCTCACTAAAACTGAGCTCTACTTGTAGTTAACTATGAATAATCCAGCTAATATTGATTCAACATCAAAAGCAATAACAATGGAAAACGAGAATTTAAAATGATGAAAATTGTGTCCACAGTTCTGATGACTCTCGCTTTTCGTTTTATCATGTAGATAATCATTTATCTCTGAGAAGATCTTAACTTACTTATTCTTTTTACCTCTTGGTGCTATCAATCAACACTTTTGCCCTGCCATTTTCTGTTTTCGAGTCCATATTAAAGTTATATGTTAACTTCAAGGATTTAAGAATAGCGCATTTGTCTAACATAAAATCAGTTAACAATTCAAACTTATATTATCATTGGTTTATTGAAAACTATAATTGGAGATGGAAAGGAAACAAGAATCAGCGTAATACTTATTAATTCGCAGGACTAGTTTTGAAAGTTCCCCTATATTTAAAACTAAATTAATTCTGCAAATTAATGCATATTACGCTGATTTTTATTGCCTTACCACCTTTAGTTATTGCTATTTAGCGCGTTATTTTAACTCAATTTATTAAAACTCTTAATTTTGGAGGATTCATGAAAAATAAGCCCTAAATCTTCAAGTAGCAAAAGTATTTTCCATTCCTTGGAGGAACGTAGATTGAAATTTTAGCTAATTTTGTTTTTCCCTTCAAAGACTCATCTTGCATTTGAAAGGTTTAACATGCAGGAAATAACGAAAGTTTCAGTATTCAGAAACATTCAACAACAGAATTGCTGCATGAAAGTTTCAGCATGGAGGGAATGATATCAAAAGAGTAAATAACGTTCATTAGTGTTGAGTAAATAACGTTAATTAATTGTTGTGCTTATCATCCAGTTATTAATATCGAGAAATTTTGTGAAAGGGAAGTTTATTATGAAGTTGTTTCTTCTAACACAGGAAAGCCTTAATTTAAATCTGCATAGCTGTTTACCTTTAAAAAATAAATCATGTCAGGGTTTGTATTATTGAACATGCAAAATATCCTTTATTTAAAATAATTATCAAGCAATTATTATCTATTTCAAAATTTTCGAACAACTTATTGGTCAATCGGCTATCGATCAATTGACCTGTTTTCATATTGAACTACAATATCGCTTCGATTATTCGTTCAGACCGAAGATTTAAGGGACTTCTCAGATTTAGAAACCGAAACCAGCCAATACCATGCAGGCGGTTCGCGGGATTTCCTATTTGAATTACATTTTGAAGACACTGAAGACTTGGTTTTGTAACTGATATGCATTATCTTTTGTATACAGTTTTCTTTGCATAATGATAGTGATTATAATATTCTGTGTCTTGACGCTAAGATGAGCCTTTAACTCTTGATCATTGTCAATTTGTCAACTTCCTGTATTTCTTTTTAAAATATTTTACTGTTTCTTGGTCTACATTTGTAAATTCTGACTTGTATTATACCTTCAACTGTGAAGTCACATAATAATAATTCGGACGCCATCTTGTGTATGCAAAATTAAGATGAAAATAAGACATTGATATTGTATTAAAATAAGTTACGGCTTCCATATATGTACGTGACGTAATTTTCTGTTTTGAGGTGTGCAGTATTTAATGATGAAATGTTAAGTGCTGCTGGAGCTGTTAAGTGCAGTGGAGTTGTTATGTGCAGTAAAAACATTTCAAGTTATATTGAGTAATATTATTGCCCCGTATACTAACATCAGACCTTCCCAACACTTTTCGGTGGCTCTATATATAGTCCCATCTCATACGTACATAAAACAAATTTTAATGTTTTAAATTAATAAAAACTATCAGTATCTTATTTCATTTCTATTTCATTCGACAGAGTGGCCGGGTGCCCGTTGGCGGCAAAGAAACGGAAGCTTCTGGACAGCTCGTGTCATGAATTTTCGTTGGCCAAAACCCGGCGGGCGGAACAGAAGCGGTCAACCTCCTCTGACTGTGCCAAAGGCTCTCAGGAAACGGAAAAAAAGCAAAGCTGCGCCAACAACCAGTCGTCAACTGACGCCAAAAGAGGGGACAAAATGACTGGACGCAAATGCACCCAAGAAGCACCTCCGAAGTCCCTTGGAGTTGTCAACGGTGGATTAACTAGCAAATCTGTCACCAAAGAGCTTCTCGAACCAAGGACAGAAAGGAACCACAGGAAAACGGTTGATTACGCAAGTAAAAGTAAGTAAAAATTCGATATTTATGCTTCTTGGTACATATAATTGGGACGCCTGTAAAATTATGCACCATCATAAAGCTAGCGCTGTCCAGATGGTATAATGGTTAGGGGAGCCTGACTGCGATACCGAAGAGCCCGGTTGGAATTCCGAAGAAGCATGGATTTAAATTATCTGTCCCTTCATAGCAGGCAAATGTGGCCCACCTATTAGGTGCCTCCGTAATAAAGAGACCACCACATCTGGCCTTAGGAGTGGCCGATGCCGGCATAGGCAAGCTCCGTTGGGTAAAACTAAAGCTAGCACCATCGGTCTCTGTTCGGTCTTATATTAAATCGGTTTTTGTTCAAGAAGATAGTAATCTTCATAAGGGTGCATAAGCATAACGATAAATTTGCTCTTATGCAGATCAGTTTCTGACTCTAAAAAAGCAACTTGCACAAAGTTGTGAGCATGTTTATATCACGACTTCACTTATACACGTACTTCAGAAGTTCAACTTTCAGCTGCTTTGCTAATTAGAATACCAAATTGAAATCCTATTTGCGTAGTGGTTCTCCACCAAAAAGGTGCTCTTATCACTATTCAGATTGCTTTTTACAGGTAAAAGATTGATCTTTATAATTGTGCTTGCACTTCTTTAGCGGAACATTCTTATGAAGTCCTATTTTTTCTCAGAGTGGCCAATTCATACAAAGATTTTGACACCTTTATGAAGGAGTTTTCTTACGAAGCCGTCCCATACGCTAAAGGAAAATACTCGTGTTTGTATTTTTCCTTATACCTTTATTTATACAGGGATTCAAAACTTTTCCGGCCTCGTCACATTACAAAAAGTTGCTTATCTATAAATTCCTCTTACAGGCGTATACTAGTAGCAATACTAAATGAATAAACTTGAAAGTTTCATTAGGTAAATCGTATACATTATTTTTAATGAATACAGTTTTAATGCATACAATTTAATGTATACGATATATAATAGTATACATTTTCTGTTTATTGAATTCAGTAATGTAGAAACCTGTAACGTAAAATAACGTTCAATCTTTTTGTAACGATTAATTTCACACCTTTTGCAACAATTAGGTTAAAAGCAAAATGTAATTAATACTAATTTATATTTATCATCGAATCTAAGGCCGCAAACGAAGAAAAAAATTCTGTTTAATATAAAGTTTCAAAAAAGATCAAAATTCGAAGAATCGTGTAAAACTATATAATTGCATTTACTAATAAATATATATTCGGTTGTTGCTAAATCACCCTTCGTACTTGTGTATTTGATAAAAAAAAAAAGAAATTTTTATTGTAAAATATTTTGTCTACATAATTATTAATACATTAAATTAAATATTATAAACCAATTAATTTGGAAAACTACACATGAACGTAAAATTACATTGTAATTATGTGATTTTAAAATCCATTTGTTTTTTATGAATGATAACATTTATTTTAAGGTCTGGGAAATTCCATTCTTAAAGAAAATGGAGAAAAGCGCTCAAAGAAAGGTCAAGACGCAACGGCCAAAGAGTCTTCGCGATCGACCCCAGCAGCGAATGCTGGGAAAATTCCCACTTCCATCAAAGAAGAGGACAGATGCCCGCCAAAAATCAAAGAAGGCATTCACAACAAACCGGTAGCATCGCCGCAGGCGAAAGTAAAAGAAACTGACTCTAAGAATTCTGAACGATTTCAAAAGAAATCGAATGTCAGCGTGTTGCAGAATGACAGACGATCTAAAAACGGCGCTGGCGTTTCCAACAATAACAGCAGTCTAACCACCCCTTTGTCGAAGGGAATAAAATATGAAATAGAAGACCCAGAAAGTGATTCGAATGATTGCCCGAAATCTAAGCCTAACGCAACAACATCTTCTAAATGTAGTGAGAACAAATACCGCACAGGTATTTTGGAACACTCTTCGAACAAAATTAATGATGAAATGAGTCATAACGCACAAAAGAAAGCAAAAGTGAAATCCGAGAATGAATTGGAACTGAGAGTTGGCAGCTGTATCAAGGTAGAGCAATTAGAGACTGAAAAATGCCTTAATGATAATAAGAGTGATGTTAAGCTTATTAAAACAATAAAGACCGAACCTATTCAGCCAAGCGTTTCCAAGAAAAAAGAAATTTGTAAGAAGGAAGTGATCAAAACATTTGATAAACAAAACTCTCCTAACACGAGCAATAAGACAAACATATGTACAAATAGTATTAACAAATGTTTAAGTTATCAAAAAAGAACGGACGATCTTCCTAACAATAAAGTCTCTTGTCAACAAGGTAACAAACTTAGTTGTAACATTGAAAGCCAATCAGGTGAAAAACCGAAAATAGAAAAGTACAATAACCTCGCAATAGAAAAACAACATGTTCCTCAATTTAGCCAGCAAGATGTCAATCGGCTTGCAAATGCAGTTGGAAATAGTTCAGAGCCTGGTCATAAAGATCTGTCTGGAAAGCAGTTAGAAAATCGGGTAACTCCCAACGCCCATCATGTAAGTTTTCAAGGCACAATTTCTTGTCACCGAGATCTTCATCAAAACAAACCTCATGTGAACCACATAAGCCGGAAAGAAAATAGTCAGATTAAATCCCAAGAAGAAAGGAAACAATTTATTCATATCAGTGCTGATACTTTCAACCAGTCTTTCAACAGGTTAACAAACGCTAAGCAACCACAACCTAATAAAAAACTAAGTAATCAGAAATTTGATGTATCTAATAAAAACATTACAAACTTAAATACCATGATATGTAATCAACTCGAAAATCATTCAAAAAATAATATGACTTTAACTAAATACACCCATTCAACATCGCATGACCAAATGACCATTTATGCTGATCATAGACTTAACAATCAAATTTGTAATAATAAATTCAAAAATGAGCCAAAAGCACACGAAAGGAGGGATATGGAGGTAGATGAAGATGAAAAACGCGTTCAAGAAGCTCAAGAAGCCCTTAGAAGTTTGACAAGAAATTGTGTTAATGACAAATCCTTTTCAGACAATAAAATTGAAAAACCTTTCTTCGAGAATTTGTTCGAGAAAAAGGCATCAGACATTGCTGTGTCACACAGTTCATGGAAGGACGTGGTAAACGTGAGCTCGACACCTATTAGTACAACTCCTGGAAAGTTAGAAGTTAAAGACATCTATAAGGAAACTGCAACGGAACCGGTTCTGGAGGTTGTTCATTCTCAGAAAGATCCTACCAGAGACTGTGATGTAAAGCCCATCGATGGAAACAAACAAGGCGGTAAGGGTTTAGTTTTTTGTTACTTTACCATTCTCTTTAGATAGCAGTTTAAAGTAACTGCATACAGATAATGCTTTTTTCAAAGTGTCACAACATTGAAACTGATTTAAGATTCTGATAAATGCTTTGCTCTTTTAATATGTCTTGTGGAAGATATAGAAAAAATGTCGGCATCGTAAATTTCATTAATGGAATGTTTATTCTGCAAACGAAAACTCCTTTTCATCTCATTAACGCTAATATGACGATAAATGGCCTGTGATTAGTTATTTACAATAAATAATAGCAATATTTAATATATTATTAGTAATCTACTATTAATTACGTAGTAATAGTATTAAAACTAATATTAATTTTTGCTTGGTCATTGGTTTGTTCAAATTCTAAAATTTAACTTTAAAAGGATTTTTAAACTGCTTTTAAGATGATATTTTTAAAGTGTTTAAACAAACTCTATATTATTCTGAAAAATCAGAGAATATTTTATTCATTGACAATATTACTTTTTGATGGCCAACTATTCCATCCAATGTTGCTTAAAATTTATCTCATTGTCCATGATGTCAGTTGTAAAGATCTTGGATAAAAAGAATAACCCATTACAATTAAATTTAATTATAGAGGGTTTTGCCTCATAAAGTACTTTCCAATATTGAAGCCTCATATGACTTCAAGAATTACGGGGAAAAGGATGTCCTTGATGTAATTAACTATTTTAAGCTATTAATGAAAATGACGGAATCGATGAGAAACTGCTTTAAGAATTGTGGTTAATAACTCATTTGATAATGACAATAATCAATAATTTTGAATTGGTTGATGGCACTTTTCTACAATGCTTCAGAAAATGGTATTAGTGCATTATCTCATAAAGTTTGGCTTGTTTTGGGGGGATAAACTAGTTCCAAACTCTTGACAGTTGTAAAGCAATTAATCGCTGTGTCTGAAGTAACTACAGAGACTTGGAAAGGTTTAAAACAAACTTTTTTTTTAAAACAGAACTTTGAACATAAGTACGCGTCTAGTGCTAACTAAATCCCCCATACACACTTGTGGCAATGTAACTAAAATAACAGTAAAGCTCCTAATTTAAAACGTGGACTATTAGTCAAAAACTATACAAATAAATTTAAATCTACTTTAACTCAGAAAACCCTAACCGGAGTGTCAAATTTAATATCGGTAGGAATTTCGCAGAGCCGAATAATTACAAACACGTTCTCTCTTACAGTCCCGAAACCTCAGCTTAAATACTAACTGATTTACATTCTGGTGAGCAAACGGAAAGGAGAAGTTATAGTAAAGGCTAAAATTATAAATAACTGGTTGATTTCAAATAATAACTTTATAATTTCATAAAGAAAGAGATAAACGATTGTCATGACATTTTCCACGAAAATGGAAATAAACATAATATGACTGATTATTCTAGTATATTCGTATGACAACCTTGTCAATAAACAGGAAGAAAAACTGTTATGTTGATATAACAAATGTCCAACAGTATTTTCTTTACATATCATTTGCATAAGTGCTAATATTTTTGAAATATATCTATATTCGGCCCATAATACTCATATTAGTTAATAATGTTTTTTAAACAATCTAAATGTCTTGAAGTAATCTTTAATCAAGAGTAAAGAAATTCTATCCCGTGGTGTTTTAGAATTATTGCATACTATTTCTGAAGCTCCGGAGTTCTACAAGCACAAAAACAAGTAAATCATCCAACATTCCTAAGCTTTAAAAGAAGCCGAAAACGCAACGTTAGATTTTTAACAAAACTCTATTGATTTCGAGGCAATTAGACAAAGTCTTCTTCAAGAGAAAAAAAAAATGATTCTGAAAAAGGAAATCCAAAAATAAGTAGTTTATGTATTAAAATAAAGTGTTAATTAAACCACAGTAGAGAAGAGAAATGTATTTTCAGAATTCACAAACACATTATCACGTTATTTTATTTTTCTGATATTTATATAAGAACTATTTAATTGTTAAATGAGTGCATTCAGCATAACCATATATTTTAATAACAACCCTACTTACAAATAACAAGATAGAATTTCTGATTGAATATTTGCCCAACAAAAATTAATTCATTCTGTTTTTTATTTCTCAGCTAAACAAGATGATACGAAATCCACGAAAGAATACGACATGGAAAACCTCCTGCAAATCGAAGCAGAATGTGCTAACATACTTGCGGCTTCTTTTGGAACACAGCCGCCTCCTCAGGAAACTATTACCTACAGAAGACCGGTAGAAAGTTCTATATTTTATTCGTGACAAGTTGTATAATTGTAATTTAAGAATGTACAAATAAATCTAAACATATATGAATGCACAAATTCTGTTTTTATTTACGGTATTTAGATATTAATCTTTCGTTGAGCTCAAATCTGTATTTAGATTTCATAAATGTTATGTTTTAAAATTACGACCTTAAGAAAAACTTAAATATTTGGCATAACAGGCGTTGTTTAGAAGAGATTTAATCACGAGTCTCATTTGTCAAAAAGGAATATATCTTAAATTTTCGTTGATACAAAATATTCGATAAATCGAATGTTTTTTGACGAAAAAATACACAGATGTCTTTTATCGTTATAATACAGTTTATCGTACAGTTCAGCAGGTGTTGTTAATAATGTGCTAAACACACTGTCGCTATGATGCCCTGAATATATACTGTACTAAATAAAACTCCAGGTGATGACAAATCATATCCCTGTGCATTTTGTTTCGCCACTTTCCTAATCTCTATAGTTCTACTTTTCGAATGTGAATGCTAGTAGTAGGATCGTAAATCCTGCTTATGGATCACCCGCAAAGTGGCATAAACTAACTTATTTCTAGTCATCCAATTCTCCATATGTTGAACCAGCTTCTTTCAATTTTAAAACAGTTCCTTCAGTCCATCTGATGTTGCAATCCCTCACTCACGTTCTCTTGAATGTTCTCCATAAGGAATTTTGCATTCTTGTTTGGTACTTGAAACAAGAAGCACTCACTGTCATCCTGGCAAATGCAGCCTAAAGTCTATTGTTTTGGCTATACTCTCCTTGCATTATTCTTCTGTTTTATGAAGAGAGATTTATAAGTCTTCAAGATTTTATCAGGTCCTCCTATTTTAATGGCTGGATGTCTTGTTAGGAAACTGTAGACTCTGAATGAATTACTTGTGCATATCGGTAATCGACTGTTTTTCGAGTTAAATTTCGATTTCTCGTCTGGTCCGGTATTACACTAGAAGTACCGGTGACATTTTGGTAACTTTGATTATCACTTTTAAGTGGTTTATGAATGACCGAGTGGATAAGATAGCTAAACATTAGCCGTTCATGCCGGTTAGTATCGCGGCGAATGACCTGGCTGCATGTGAGTTTCGTAGTTTTTCGCGTATATAACGTGAATACGATATAATTTCCTATAAAGCATATTCCACATAAGATAGGTAATTTTAACACGATTTCAAGTCATTCAAATTCAAGTACCATTTTTCTGATATACTTACGGTTCACAAGACTTGTGATTCAAATAGCTTTCTTCTGATACATAAAAAATTTTGAATATTTTTTATTTTGAATTTTTGATGGTTTTCATCCATCAAAATGAATTTCGTCATAAATTTCTGCAATAATTATTGTCTTCAAATAGTTTTATTAAATATATTTTGTTTTACGCCGAATCCTAGGTATTTTTTCCAAATTTATCGTTAATTCAAATTTTCTATTTCTCTAAAACATTATATAATGCTTTCAGTTTATCACAATTTGACTGTATTATGTTACTGAAATATTTCTAACTATTTTAGAACTTGAAAAACAAATCTGGATAAAATTCTAAAAGTTTATTCTGCAGGAAATTTGAGTATCAGGCAAACTGTAAATTTCAAAAACAATATACCTTCAAGTTAAAATCATCTTATACGCTTAATGATAGACAGTTGGCTTTAGACGTCAAGCCTGTCAAGGAAAAAAAAAGTGTCATTCGTAAGAGTAGATGCAGGTCACAAGATCATAAATACAGTGCGGGCATTGAGGTTGAATAAATCTACAAAAGCAACAGTAGTGACAACTTACTTTCATTCTCTTTAAGTCTTACCCTACTTTTTAACCAGTTCCTACTTCGTGCAATAAATTAAAAACTAAAGAAAAACTCTGAAGGCTTTCAGATTCATTTCGACGTTTCGAGAGCATTTGGACTAGAAATATTTAAAAACAGCGTATCATTAGAATTCCCGATAGACAGTCTCTTGCGCTGGAGATACAAATGTTTTATTCCCTATAGTGTTGCCATTGCAAATTTTCAAATTTTTGAGTTTTTTAATCAAAAATTAATTAAAGTTTTACAAAATGTTAAATAGACAATAAAACAAATCTAAATTCCAAATTGGGGCTTCCAGGTGCCATATTTGGGTGCAGGACTGCGTTATCCAAAGTTTGATGACTGTAGGTACCGTTGTTTTTTCACAATGCAAGAAACATACATACATTCATGTAGATTCTTCATTATTTAATTTCTTTTAAATATAATGCAGGGCGATAATGTTTGGTGGCAACAGTTTGAAAAGTGATACTGCCGTTTATAGTGATTCGACACAAAATGCCGTTTCGAGACTAATAGCTCTTCTGGGCTAATAATTTCACAAATTTACAAACAAAAATCTTAAACAAATGTTTTAAAAACAGCATGTGTTTTATCAGTTTACAATCAGATAATATAATATCAACGAAATCTATTTAAAACAAAGATTGGAGATTAAGAGAAAAACCCAGACACAAATGTATTCTTATTGGTCTTCATACTATCTAAACTTCTGATGAGTTAATTTAATCTTATATGAATCTAATTCAAGCTAACATCTTCCAGATCGTTTTTCATTTCAGACCATAGTTAAAATATAATTTTTCATCATTTTTAATCTTTGGGTAGTATCCAAAGAGGCAGCCTTAGTAAAATGCATTCAAGTGCAATAAAAATTTAAATTAATCATATTCGCGCCTTTTCGTAATTTTTTTTATTTGTCTTTCTTTCACATAATATGTTCTAACTGTAAAAAATGCGTAACTAGAGATACAGATCAGATTGAAATGAATAATATTTAAAGCGATGACCTCAAAAGAATGTATTAAGGCGCATTTAACCGCAATGAACTCAGAAATATTTGCGCTTCTTCTTAACATACATTTTTATGTATATGTTCTTTACTGAGAGAAAAGATGCAGTTAGAGATATGAGGGAGATTAAAATGGAAACTAGAAGTCTATTTTCTGAAAAAAAGCAAAACTACCTCTTATAAATATTATAAAAGAATTGAGAAACATTTTAAAGGCTATGAGACTATGCAATTTATGATCGTATAGTCCCAATCAGTTGCATAAAAGGTATACAAAGAAACATTCAAAGAAATGAAGAATTTTTCATTAGCATTATTTTAGCAGCAATAATAAAAGTTTACTATCTTACTCAAAATATCTATGTATATATATGAAAAACATAAAACAGAATGAAATATGATCAATAATATTCAATATTTCATCTCTGTTTATGTAGATATATGTAAGCACTCTTGCATTAATTTTGTATTAAAAATAAATTATAGTAGCATGTTTAATTACTTAAATTGAGAGATTAGATCATATTTATGAAGCTGTATAAATTTATATAGAATTTTCTGTGCTTATAAATAATATATATAAAAATTTTTAAATTAAATTTTTTTGTAAAATTTTCATTTTTTTGTCTGATAAAAATGAATTTTATTTACAAATAAATTGCATAGTTAATGAAAAAGTACATTGTTCTATTACATTCTTTAATCCACCCAAAAAAGTAGAAGTACTTAGAATCTGAAAACTTATTTAATCAATCAAATAAATTAGAAGATTAATCATATTTATTTATTTCAAAGAAAGTTTGAAGATATTTTATAAATTATATATATATATCTTCTAATAGCGAAATCTTTGCAATTATTTTTCAAGAAACTGCACATCATTTCAATTACATTCCATTTCAATATAATAAATATAAACCATTTCTTTAATCTCTCTATATGCGCATAATATTTTCAAATTAAATCTCTCTGTCTGAAAAGCTTCTTTATACTGTCCTGTTATATAACAGACATCTCATTTCCTTATTCTATTATAAAGCTGCTGAGTTCAACGTACATTTAACCTTACTTAAATTTGAATGAAAATAAAATGTAATTCTATTATAACTACGAACGGACGATGCTAAGAATGCATTCTCCGTGCCATTTTGAAAATGTATGCTTTGAAGAGGAACATAGTTAAAAAGAATCACTTTTCTCTCTCCTAATAGTGTTCTCCTGAAGACTGCGATAAGTCTAACATTTCGGCAGAGTCCACTCCCTCCCCTGCATCCACTCCCTCCCGATCTGCAGGCTCTCGCACTCCCTCTCCACTCTCCTCTCCGCCATCCTCCCCCCGCCACAACCCAGAAGGAGATGAGGAAGAGGAAGATGCGGAAGAGGATGAGATTCGAACGAAGCGCTTCTGCTCCTCCCCTCCGATGGCTGTGGATGTTGCAGTCGGAGACTCCTGTCCCCAGCAGGAGGACGAAGATGAGCTCTTATTGGCGGAAGGTCACGTGATACGAGAAGTTTCCACAACTTCTACCAACACAGATTTCACGTCATCCGAAAGCACACAGGTGTCAGCGGGAACACCCATGTCTCCTTCAACTGTACCCGGTAAGGGAAAACCTCATTAAAGAGGAAACGCATCCGCCTCCTCTATAAAAAATATAAATTCATCCTTTCTGTAAATGTGATTTTTAAGAACACGTATCTCTCGATTTACCGCTGAGTATCCAATTTGTGTTAGAAAAAAAAGTTTGTTTATTGCGAAACGACAAACTTACCCTCGCAAATCATCAGTGTGAATCAAAACTGTCTACATAAAATGCGAAAAAGACTAACTTTCTTTTGATTTATTTATTGTATTACTTTTTATTACGTCAGTTTAATTTTTAATCACACTTTTTAAAGTTGACGCTATACTTAATATTCGTAAATATTGTTCTTTAACACCCATTCTAACTTATTGTTTTCATTTCTAATGACGTTTATTCTTCTATTATTTATAAAATTCTCTGTCCGTCGTTAATACTAATTTAATTTGCATAACTAACTGCCTGAAAATACGAGTAAATCGCTTATAGTATTTTTCTATGAATTATAATATTCTTCTTTCATACTTTTTTAACTTCATCGGATTGATTGCGATTTTGATTTTACGCCGTCCTAGTTCTCGGTATTATCCCTGTAAATCGAGAGTTGACTCCTCGTGGCAAAATTACCTTAAAGCACAAAGAAAGTTACAAACGGTGTACATATGCCAACCCATATATTACGCAAATGAGTTTTAGCAGAAAAGCTTCCACTTATTAGAATGATTTAAATAACTACGAAGAGAATAAAATTAGTGAATAAGTTAATTATTTAAATGCATTATCTGGTTAGCTTTTCAATCTTATTATTAATTATTTTGAAGTTATAATAAACTTCATCATCAAAATTATTTTAGTTCAGTTGAGTCTCTAACGCTTAATTCTTTATAGCAAATACACAAAGACTATGAAATAACATAGCAAGTAAATGCATACGCCTGCTTTTTTACGAACAACGAAAAAATGCATAATTCATAAAAGACTGTTGTTCTGATTGTTTTCTTAAAATTCGCAAACAGCTTTCGAAGAGAAAAATGGTAAGAGGGAGGGGGAGAAATGAATAAAACCAATTCCTGCCAAATGGAAGTATAACGCAGAAGACAATGAAGTAGCATTAACTATCCAAACTTGGTACATTGGTATTTCATATAATCGGTTAGCAAGAGCAAACACATAGAAAGTAAAAGAAATCAATCCTATTGACCTAAAATTAACATGTATAAGACATTTTTTAAATAGCTATTACATCTGAAATTCTAATGAGGCAGCTAGACACATGCAGCAAAATTTCATTTAAATAAGGGTATTTTAGGCCACCTTGTTCTGTATGGTAGTCAACAGGACCGGTGTCATATCCTTGGCCTCGGATTCGAATCCTGAAGAAATCATGGACGTTTGCAGCTGAATCATTTATAGCTGTTTTTAGCGGAAGTATTATGTGTCTACCCCTTGAGCTGCATCCTGCAGAATATTCTCGGTGATGAGGCAGCTAAACGACCAAATGATTCGACTGTTGCCTACCAGTGCTTAAAGGGAAAATGTCAGGTCATTTGAAAAAAAAAATGCATTCTCCGTGCCATTTTGAATTCTAACTATATTTTAGATCAAGCCCAAGTTTCTTATGGAAATACGTGGTTGAAAAAATATTACTTATATATATAGAATATTACTTAAAATTAGAAAACCGAACTGAAGAGACATAGACGAAGAAGATACTTCAGATTTCTTCTCAGAATAAACAAAAGTAAAATTTTGTTTCAGCTATTTTAATGATGTCAATAAGCTAACTGAAACGTTTTTATAACGGAATCTCATATTTAAAATCAGATGAGTGGTTGTACGAGTCATGGATTTTGTTTCTTTTTAAACTCGAGTCCTTCTACTGAAGTATACTTTTCACGATGTTTTATAAACATTCAGAATCATGAAGCACACTACTTTATGACATGCTGTTTGATACTGCGGACGTCACAATTTTCACTTCCTCATCTGAGGAGAATCTCTCACAGTTAATCACCTTTTCCGTGTTGAGGATGCCAAGAGATCATAGCATCGCTCCAGTCTTATGGGACCGAACTACGTATATCACCTATAGGTGCGAATTCTAGCATAGCTGAAGACAGAAACATTTGCCACATGATGTATATTATAAAATATGAAATGTAGTCAATGAAAAGTACTCATGGTACTATGTTTTATATAAAGTAGTACAGCAGAGCTAGCATATGTACCTCACTTGTATTAAATTACAATTATTTTCCATTGATACTATGTACCTATCTATGTATAAAAATTTTGACTCTATGGGAAATATTCTAGTCTTGATAGATCGACTTTAAACATTAGCAGTGCTAGAGCAGTAAGATGCAGCAGGATATAATCCTGCAACAAAATCACTGCTTGAGCAAATTCGTTATTTTCTTCTTGGCGGTTCCCTTCGAATGATTTCAAGTCGTTTGCACGATAGTTACTGTTTGCTATCTGCCATAGGTGTATAATGTTTGCATGCAAATCGCAATTGATAATCTTCCAGAACTTTCTTAGTCAATCACTCGTGTATTATCGTCTTAAAAGGCATCCATTGTTAAAATACTAATGCATAGCTAAATGTTTCGTATCGTATGGATACTTTAGCATTTAAATTACTTCCTTACTTTTGTTCTTAAGTTAACACAAAATTTACTTGCATCACTGCAATATATACATAGAGGCCACTTAATGAGAGTTTACTATGAAATAAAATAGGTGTTTCCGCCCATTGTGACCAAATATTAAATTCGATGGCTTTGGAACTGTAGGTTATGAGTTTGGATCTGTTCGGTAAAATAAACTTGCGTCAAAACTCCCTACAACGTTACAACGAATTATCACTGAGTCTGAAGATAACGACAAAGTCTTGAGAAGATTAAAACTAACATTTTTATTAAAAAACAGAAAGTAGCAGAAGAGCACGTCTCGTGCTTGACAAAGTCAGCCAGCACTTGCGCGAGATATTTTAAAGTAACAGTCAATTTAAAATTTAAATAAGCTAGTAGTCAAAGACTACGCAATTCAATTTATAGCTAAATCGGCTTAGAGCTGATTTGACTTAGCTATCAAATCTAATCCGCGTAAGTATTCGAATATTCAACAGCAATTAGGCAAAGCCGAGTAACTCAGGCTATCAGAGCAGAGAGAAATTAACGAGCACGCACATCGGCAGAAACAAGCTCTTTCTTACAATCTAACAACTTCAGATTGAATACTCTATCTAATTTGCATTCTGGTGAGGAAACGAAAAGACAAGTGACAGTAAAGATCTAAAGCATAAAATAATTGGCTATGCAAAATCATAATAACCTTATAAAGTTCAAAGGCGTCGACATGTAATTTTCACGAAACCTAGCTGACAGTTGTCACTTTTAATACAATGAATGAGAAAAAGAGTCCATCTTAAATGTTTTCAAATAGCCCATGTGGAAATAAGAAACATATACTGATTTTCAAATAAAATGACATATTGTCTGAAAATCAGTATTAGGATAATTGAAGCAATGATAAAAATAGCCGTTTAAACAACTCAAATGCTAAAGAAAATTAATAGATGCGGTTTGACAGACAAGAAAGTTTATCTCCTCTCAAAAAAGAAGATAATATGGTTTTCTTCTCGAAATAAGGTCAATATTAATTCCGCCAATATTAGTCTAATTTATATTATTAATTTAACTTGTTTCGGAGTTTTAATATAATGCATGTTTTCAAAGTCTTCTTCATATTTACATATGAAAGCACTGAATATTTACAATACCTGTAGTTTTTGTATGGTGTTTTTAAGGTGTTTACGCATGTTATGAGTATAAATAAAAGCATAGTTGAAAAATTTATTGCAAAGTAATGATTTTTGCCTTTATTATAAAAGATAATTTTCCTTTATCGGTTACATTCCTCAATGAATAAAAAATAAAACAATATTTTGAGAAGGTTTAGGTATTAACTTTCAACTATAGATCATGATTTATTTGCACGCAACTAGCTAAAATTTACTATCATTTACTTCAGGTTTTCCTTGGTCATGCATTTTAATAGATAAATAAAATATTCTTTCTCAGATTATTTCATAATATTATTGTGATATTAAAGTACTTTTAATTTCACATTTAAAATGTACAACCTATTACTAAATAAATATACGAGAAGAATGATAACAACAATTTGGAATTGATTTTCTCGATGCATGGTTTTCAATCCTCTAGACAAGAATGCTTCTTTATATCGATTGATTTTATAAATGGAAAGTTATTAAACGGCAAATGATGAAAACTACGTAATCATTTTATAGAAAACATACATAATAAAATATGAAATAAAGCCTATTAAGCTACTCGATTTTAGATAAATGCACTAAAAAGTAAATAATAATTATAATAATAGTAATTCTTTGTAGCTAATACAATATTCTTTATCAAATATATTTGAAAATCATATCGTGAAACTGATAGCAATACGGATTTTAAATCAAAATTGTCAAGTAGAAATTTAAATGATTGAATGTAATTATTTTTATAAATGTCCTTTTCATGTTATTATTTACATCGTTTATCGAAATTTTGCTAATACAATTTATACACTCCCTACAATTTTATAATTAATCATGCATGATCATATCATGACACCTAAAATATTCTTTTGGTACTTACGTATTATCGTAATCACCTTAGCAGGGGTCGTCAAATTTTCAGAATGTGCTAAATACTGGCAAAATGGCCATAATGGTTCTTCAGGTAACCACGTTCATATCATTCCTTCAGTAAAGCAAAGTCACCATTTTTGTATTTGTTCCTTTTTGTTTTATTCCTAGCTGCAATGGTTATTTATAAAAGAATCTTGATATTTTTTGCCTTAATCTCAATTTTGAAATATGCGCTTGGGAAAGCCAGTAATGAAATTGTGATTAAATTTGTGCAGGAATGCAGAATTTTGCTCAAAATTGCGAAAGAGAGTAATCATAAGAAGTTTTTGGTAGCTAGCTGATGCACAATGCTGAGGTTGTGCTCGATGCCGAGTTTATGTAATTCTGTGATGTTTTTAAAATAGATCAACGTAAAGAGAAAAAACAACTCAAAAAATCTTTAAAATGATTCAAAGTTTTATTTTTTAATGCATGATATTATTTTTGTTCAATTTTGTGTTTTAAATTGCTGAAACGTTTTTCTTTTGTGTGTGTGTATGAAAGTGATATGTTGATAATGTTTGCCAACGTACGACTATATATATCGATAATTTAGAATTTTTTTTTTTTTTTAAGTATCGAAAATCACCAGATTTCGCCAAGTTGGTTGCGTTAATGCGTACGTTTAGTGCACTTAAGAAAATAATTTAAAAATTTTCATATATATTTTATTATCACCATGAAATTTGCTATCAGTGCAAAAAAATAATAAAGAAAAACACTTATCTTCTCTAACCGTAGGAAAATTATTCATCCTGGTCAGCGTATCTACGAAATATACGCAATATCATCTTTTATTCAAGATCTTCTGTTCTATCAGATTGTATGAGATTACAATCAGTTCAAGAAATCACTAAAATTTTGGTAAAATACTTTAGTAATCCCAAAAGAATTTTATTCGAAAAATTATTTTAAATCTCAGCGATGTCACGAAAATCGAAGTTTCACGATTACTTGGCCGTTAAGCAAAAGATTGTGAGAAAACCTCAATATTAAATTTATAAACTTTTGTATTTTTTAAACATTATTTCTGTTGAATATTGCGCTGTCATCATAAATACGTTATGAATGAAAAATGTAACAAAAAAAATTCGTCTCTGTAAAAGGGGATTAGAAATTAATTTTTTCTGAAACATTTATTATTGGATAAGAACAGAGTGTATCTTCTGTAAGACGATCGCCTATGGTTCCGGATCATTTAGGTCTTCTGTAGAAATGGTCACCTTAGATATTTGATATTCATACCGATGTTTATGTTCTTAGAAAGGATGTTCAATTTCGAGTGGTCGTCGTAGGAATATTTTCTTCTCGAGAGGAATCAGCGTAATATACATTGTTTTTATTACTGTTAACATTCTTTTCCCTTATAGTAAAACACTGATAGAGAATCTGATTAATCAAATTCATAAAAGTGCATAAAGTGTTTGGATTCTTTTTCAAATTAGAGGTGGATAGTAATATATGTTTTCAACTTTAGTTTAGAAATTTATACGACGTCCCATAATCTCTAAAATATAAATAGACTCTGGATTTTCTATTGGCCTTTAAGAATCGATATACTAGATCTTGATTTGGTTCACTAAGAGATACCATACATTTGATAATTCTTGCATTTTCTTTCTTCAGCAAACAGTTCATGTCCTCGACGCTTTGGAATGTTGGAAGGTCGTCCTTTGACTTACGAGGACCACCTTTTACCGCTTCCTGACGATGACAATCCTTTGGTAATAGACGAGGGAGGAGACGATGCTACCAAAGATTCAGAATCACCTCATGGGTATGAATTATCTTTTCTTTATTTAGCAACTTAGCAAAATAAAAAGTATATATCAAAGTAAAACATATAATTATCAAAGCAACAACCTTGTATTTGGCATCGATTTTATTCGACTCTATCGATTTTGAGGGCAAACAAGTATATATCAAAGTAAAACATATAATTATCAAAGCAACAACCTTGTATTTGGCATCGATTTTATTCGACTCTATCGATTTTGAGGGCAAACAAGTACAGGTCCCTCTTCATTAAGAGCAAAGAAATCTGCAGAGAAGGAAAAGCCACGGTTATATTTATATAGAAGGTACAGGCACATGTCGGTAGAAACAGTAACCAAATTTGAAAATTAAGTTAATAGAATTTTAAAAGCTTAAGGAAGATCTGATCCGTGGAAAGCAGCTGACGAAGAATTGCAAACTTTCATAAGATTTCCCGAGAAATAAGTTTGTGTCCATACATGATGTTATGAGGCTTCATTGTATACACAGCTAATTTTTAAAACTACGGCAACAATCTTATAAGCGAGCAGACTTTCGAAGTTATATATCATCATGCTAAGAAATTCGTAATTTTCACATAATAAATATGGTAATTTTAAAATGTTGCTTAATTGTGTTTTTCTGAAATATAAAACCATGTTATGTATTTTAATTTTAAATACTCTGTACAATTTTCAATACGTTACATTTTGTACAAATAACATCACAAATATGAGCAAATATATTCTAAAAATATATATTCAATTATCAATTATCCAGAAAAATCTTTCATCCAGAATCGGCTCTTTCCCTTTGCTTCCGGCTAAAAGGGACTCTGCCGTATAGATAAATCAACAGAAGATTATGCAGTGGATAAAATACAATGTTTGCCCTGAATTCAACACTATACTTCGCTCACGACATTTTAATATTTTCGTGATATTCAAATTGGAATGCTTTCTGTATTTATATTTGCTCCCCTCAGCATTTTTCGTAACTTCTTATTTTAATTTCAGTCAATTTTTTCCAAATTGCAAAATATTAATGCATCTTTTCCTTTACAGACTTAACAGCTCACAAGAAGAGAATACTTGTTCATCTCTAATGATGAATACGGCGTGCCTGGACGCTCTGGCCGACGACATTTCCATGGGCAGCCACTCGGACGGATCTCTAAAAGGTATCATTAAACAATGCACAACGCGATTATAGTTGGCGTACTGACAAAAGGGTATTTTAATAGATTTCATGCAATTTTTCTACGTGTTCCAACAATCAAAATAAAAATTCGAAAGAATATTTAACACCATGTGGAGCTCAGAGACTAGCAGATAACATTTGTAATTGTTAAAGGAAATTAAAGATATTATTATGATGTAAAATTATATCATGAAATTTGGTAGCAATGTGTGGATTCAAACTCTTTTACATTTTAAATAACGTTAATATACCCCATCAAAATCTTAATATGCGCGTTACTAAAATTAATGAAAATAACAATGCATTACTTTTAAAATCAGATATTTCGCCATCATATCTTAAAGAGATTTATATACAAAACTTCGAAAGCTTGAATAACTATTTCACAGAAAATAGTTAAATTGAGGTATAAATGTTAGAAAAGGCAAATTAAAATACAGTCCTCATGTTTGGAAACTAATAAGAGACTATTTCTCAGAGTAAACTGGAATGCATGGATAAAAATTAAATTCAGAATTAGCGTAATTGAGATGACTGATCATTGAAGGAAAGCAAACTATTAATTGATATCTGAATGCATTAAAAATTAACTCCCGGCAAGACGAGCGCATTGGTTGCAAATTCAACTGTAATATTCCGAAAGCCTTTTCTCTCACTTTATTTCAGCGAGAACTCATTTTCAAATAGCATACAAAAGAAGCAAAATAGGCTGAAGCCTAATTTGAAAAACGCTTTTAAAGTGAATAAATCCAGACTTCAATATTTTGTGGGAAAAAAATGCAAATACATCCCAGCCGTTGAACTTATACACAATTAATCTATAAAATTTTGAGTTATGTTCGTACAAAATTGAAAGCTGAATAAAACAAAATTCTTAATTTTCAGCCTTCAGAATATAGTCCTTGTTTATACCATTTTTGGCACGCTCAATTAGATGTTTAGAAAGTTAAGTTTTGGAATACCGTTTAACTCTCTCCCTTGTGGTTCGATGAAAATCTTCTGTACAACTAAAACAAAGACCATTGAGATGGGACTTCCCTTTAGAGAAGAAAATGTAATCTATGTGTGCAAAATCTGGTGAATAAAGTGAATAGTTGAGAAAGAAACTGTTATACGATAATGAAAGTGCATAACTGTATGCATTGTTATATAATCGAAACCAGTTATTCAATTGAGCTTTTTAAGCCTAAGGTACTGGATTCTGTTCATAAGTCCGTTACATCTTTATAAAGTATGAAATTTACCATCTGCACTTCGGGAAAGAATTCTTTGTGAATTATCCTCTTCCAATACAAAAACTACCAATATTGTTTTACGCGAGATTTCTGAAACCTTGTAGAGACATTGGGCTATTTTTCTTTTCTTTTTAAGCAGGAAATGTGAAAAATGAGCAATGCCCTCCCTGACTCAAACCTGGATCTCTCGAATATGCGTCGAGTGTGCTGCCATTACACGACGAAGGAATGCTGGAAGAAGGGAGATAATACCTTATCTACTCCCCCTTTTAAAGGGCGACTGGATATTAGGGAAGCCATTCGCCAAATCCTGGTGGTGACAAATTATTGTCCACCTCCTTTTAGTTCGGACACCACTGTAAAGTTGTTAAGAATATTTTCGATGTCAGGAAAGAAGAAATGTGCAATGCCCTCGCTGGGAGTCGAACCTGGACCTCTCAAATCGCCCCGAGTGTACTTTGAATTAGGTTAGGTTAGGTTAGGTTAGGTTATTTACGGCAAAGCCTCGAGGGCTATCTGCCTAAGGGAAGGGATGCCTTCGTGGAGGACTTTCTAAAGGAAACTGGGTCGTATGCACGTTACACATGGGGAAAACCACGAAAACAGCCATGCAGCCAGCCCGTTCGCGGGATTCGAACCTCGGACCAAACTACCAGTGTTCAGCGACTTTACCGCTCGGCCGCTGTGCTTTGAATTACAAAGACATGTTGGAAAGAGGAAGAGATCTAAATTTTTTATAACCTAAATACTGTGAAAGTGATGAACTTCTTCGAACATAAGCAGATACTTGCTATTGTGTTGTAGGGTTATAAATAAAGCAAGATCATTTCACAGTTTGCTTGAAACAATCAGGATAAATGTCTGCATTTGGATCCATTCAGGGCACTCAAAAACTTGATCTTCTTCTTCTGCAAATAATGCATGAACGATACAGTTAAAACAAATTTTTCCGTTTTCATGATGTTGCCCGACAATTATCTTATATTAATCTAAAGATCACAGGTGACGATTTTTTCCATAAAATTTGCTATACTTTCTCATGTGTTCATTCGTTCGAGACTACACTACTGAATTCATCATCTTCGCATCCATGACAAAATCAACCGTAAAATTGAACATATTAAATCGCATTTATGCTTTAAATTTAAAATGTCTCTGCAGCAGTTTTCCCAATCTACTACAGAACTTCATTGCGATTTTGATCAGCTTTCTTATCCATGACATAAGGTGATCATTGGGTCAAAGCAAACGATTAAATGTATAGAAATTCTGTCCGAAATTAAATTATATTTTAAAAAATGAAAATTGAGGTGTCATAGTAATAAATGCCATCAATTATCATTCGGCTGGTTTTCTAGAATTTTTTAAAAATAATCAGGCTTAAAATATTTTAGACTTTCTGTATTTTAAAAACATATTACAATTTTTCCTCAAAAAATTAATGTAATTTTTATTTCTTAATAATTAATTAATTTTAAGGTTTATAATGTATATATATAAATATATATGTGTGTAATTCTAAAAATATATAAATATATTTATAAAACATCATTAGAAGCTAAACGTGCTATTCTTAAAGAAATGGGATAAATTAATAACTGTGTTTGATATTTTATTTTAAAGAAAAAAAAAAAAGTTATGCAACACACTAAGTCAATAAAGTAAAAATGGAAGTTGGGAAAAAATTTGTACGAAGTTAAAAGTACTAAATAAAAATAGAAGTAGAAATTTAACTCTTTAGAAAACGTATGAGAAAATTATTAATCGCTTTAAAGTCAATGAATAAAATAACAGAGTCTCGAAAAAATTGAAAAAAAGAAATAAAAATTAAAAAATTATGAATAAAAAGATGAAACCCCCCCCCCCCCAAAAAAAAAAATCGGAAAGGTAGTTGACTAGCATTCATTCCCTTTCCCAAGAGAACAGAAGGAGAAAAACAGACAACAATATCCAATTAAGTCTCATTTTATTAGAATGAAGAAGAAAGCTAGAAAATTTTAATTAATGATGTTGATACAATTCAGAGGGATTAAATTTCGAGCTGTTCATTCCAGAACCTTCTCAGATAGCACAAGACTAAACATTAAATGATTTATCTGAAAACAGAGAGAAAACAAATAAGTTAGCTTCTTTGACTTTAAAAAACATAGGAATTAGTAATTTAAAAGAAAAAAAGGGGAAATGCTATAAGTAATTGCTAATAACTAAACCTAAAAGAATGAAAAAAAATAAATAGACATTACTTACAAAATATTTTTTGCAAGTATTAAACTTCAAAAAGTTTTTCATTTTATATTTATCACGGAAAGTTGCCAAAAGGTCAACCTTGATCAAATAATATGCGGCATTTTAATATAAAAACTCCTAATTAATTTTTATATATTTAGTTATTAAATGTTTAAATCTTTCCTGAATTATTGCTTTTTTTTACGTTATGCAGCTTTGGCAAAAAACGGGAATTAGTGAGTTTCAGCCTTAGCGAGAAACAGACGTTTACCGTTACGCACAAGCAACAAGCAACGGCTTACCAGCGGCAGAGCGGTGAAGTCGCTGAATAGTGGTAGTTCAGTCCGGGGTTCAAAATCGATAAGCGATACGACTGCATGGGAGTTTCTGTGAATTCCCCCGTGTGTAACATGGATGCGAGCCAGTTTCTCTTAGAAAGCCCTCCATGAAGCCATCCTTCCTCTTAAGCAAATAGCCCTCGTGTTCTTTGTCATAATCAAATAAACCATCCAACCGCGTAAGCAGCTTAGTGTCTGCTGTGTGCAGTTTATTTAATATATGCATATAGACTAATTTAATATAAATTTGTATTTATTACTTTATTGAATACAATTTCCTAAATAAGTTATTAAAAAAAGTACATAAGAAGCGTACACGACATTTGTTATAAATAGATACTTTCTAGTGTCTACAATTTAGCAACTGTTGCCAATAATACATCAAACACATGATCACAACCAAACGTTATCCCAACTCTATTTTCAATCAATCTCAAAAATTATAGCAAAAAATAAAAAAAAAAATCGCATGAATAGAATTTGAAATCTTTACAGCAAACAAAAATATTAATATATTGGAACTTACGCTGAGCGCTAAATTTTCACATTTATACATTCTACAGAAAATATTCACTAACTGAAGAAATATAAATTATGTTACCATTTGCGTAGATTGGTACTATTTCCTTCTCGTCAATGCTAAAACGCACTAATTCCCTTTTCTTGCCAAGATAACTACAGCAGAGAAGGGCCATCTATTTCATGATTCATATTTAATTTTTACTTAAGTATATTTAACTGTTGTATACAGCAAAGAATTTTTAGTGAAAAATGTATGATTATTTCTAATTACAAATAATTTCATTTCGGTTTAGATAGTAAATGTCCTACTCCTGGTTGCAATGGAACCGGCCACTCAACCGGACTCTACTCGCACCACAGGAGGTAATAACCACTTCCTTTTTTCGGTTCATTTTCAAGGTCTCCCTAAAATTAATTTCAATATACATTTTTAATTTATTTTTCAGCTTGTCTGGCTGTCCAAGGAAAGACAAAATTACTCCAGAAAGTAAGCATACATTTCTCTTTGGGTAGGTTCTCTGCTTTTGTAAGATAGCACATACTGTAGCAATTAATTTGAACTGGCAATCCTGCTAAAATGTGCATGTGTTTGTGAACCATATCTAGTGCATTCGTGGAGCGATAAGAATTAAGTATAACGCTGGTAGGTTCTATTGGGCGGATTGCGGCAGTTGAAGTCTTATTTTATATTTTGGTGATCTGTAAGTAAGCGTGCAAAATTTATGTCTGATTATAGCTGCTGCGTTAATTAAAGTGTGAATTATTAACAAAGTGAAAAAATTCAACGTCATCTTTCAAAATGCTTGGCTTGAAATACTCAGAATATTTCAAGCCAAGCATTCAGAATATTTCAAGCCAAAAATTCAGAAATGGCTAGAAAGAAAGTAAACAGGCACGACTGAAGCAACATTATTATATGTGAACTGAAGGGCAGAGCAAGATGATTTGATGAAGTACGGTACTTCTTTTAAACTTTCTTAAAACTCTCAAGATAGGGCGATTTTATAGCGATCAGGAATCGATTTGTGACTTGCGCGTTAATTATCATATTCTAAAAGGGAAAGAAATGACATTCATTCTTCTGATTATAATAGTGCTAAGAACTAACAAGTGAAATGAGTTGAAAGTCAAGGCCACGTCAGTCTTCTAAACAACAATACAAAGAAATTCAAAAATTGAAAGAACAAGGTTTTTATTAGTAATTAGAATCTGACAAATATGTCCACCAAATTCAAGACCGGAAGTAGATTGGAAGATTCACTGAAAAAGCACTAACAATTAAAATAAAGCAAAAAATAATAAATTTTCAAAAATGAACTGCCAACTCAAAAAAATTAGTATGGAGGTGTTAACAATCCAAACGTGAGAAAGCACTTATGGATAAATAATAGATAACAATGAATATGAACAAATTAATTTTAAAATAAAAACCTTAATTAACTAAAAATAATTTAATAGAAGCAATGAATATTTAAAAGATGAAAAAAACAATATAGTTTTAAAATTTCATCTAAACTAAGATACACAATTAATACGACTAAGAATTTAATTACAGTCCTTAACTTTACGGAACAAGGAAGACTGTGATGATATCAGAGGTCATGTGAACTTTATGTGATTATGATGTCATCAAAGTCACATGATCTCTGACATCATGTGCTGTTTTTGCGACTTTTCGATTCTCCTCCTGCTACTTTAGTTGAAAATTTTCTGGCAACACTGTTTCTAATAGTATTATAAGAAATGTTAAACACCGAAGCTAATAATCAGCATTTTAGAAAAATGCTTTCTCTTAGTTTTTATAATAACTGAAGTACTTTATTAAACAAAGGTAGTCTTTAAGTAATTCCACGAATTTATTGTGAAAATTTGACTTTTTTATGTAAGTCAATATATAAAAGATTGGTAATTTAAAGACTCACTTTCGATTCCAAGCAAGCGCATAGCTCTTTTATGTACTTTTAAAACTCCCTGTCCCTCTACAATGCATTAAAATAATTGTAAAAACGTCATTATAAACATATTGTGCTTGACAAAAATCTGACTTGGTTTGACTTGAGAATGTTAGAACGCATCTTAATTTTCCTATCAAAAATATCCTATTTATAAAATATAGAGTGAAGAATTTCAAAAGTGTATTGGTTTGGACTTTATGAAGAATTTCCATTTTTATTCAATAAATAGATAATTCAAGTAACCAATTCCTTTGCAACAAAACTCAAACATTGGCCAAAATCAGTATTAACAATTATAACGTAAATCGAAATTAATTTACTACGTAGTACATTTAAAAACAGAAAAGCATATAAATGCATATTAGAAATTCATAGTTCACATAAACAAATTAAAATTCTCACCTTGATTAAACGGTCCTGAATTACTCGTAACTCATGATACAGGAGAGGCAATGTAACTCATATCATGATCTAGAATTTCATAAAATGTCTGAGTGAAACCACGTGATAGCGGGTTGTTTATACTGGGTTAAAGGTCGTTGGAGCGGTTTACCCTCCCCCGCCCATCAGCTGACATAAGGCGGGGGGAACAAAAACAAAATAAAGCAACATAATACGACTGGATTAACGGTATGTGCAACGGATGGCTTTAGAACATTTTTGAAATTGTATTTGAGGGTTGCATAAACAGGTTTTAAAACATAAATATTTAAATCGTATTTCTGAAAGCACACTTGAGTGAAAATATTAAAGTACTTTGAACTAAGTAATTTTAGTATATGTTATGTGTTATTTAATGACGGTAAGCAATATTTCTACCGTATGCATTTTTTTAATTGTATTTCTATTACATTTGCAGAACTTAATGTTTATTTGTTTCATATCATTCTACGAAACTGAATTATAAAAATAGAAATAAATGTCAGTTTTTTGTTAGTTCTTTGTTCCTTATTTATTTTTTTACATTAT